GGAGACTGAGCCCCCCATCAGTCTCCATGCTCAGCAGGCAATCTGCTTGAGATTCTCTCTCCCTCTCCCACTGCCCCTCCCCTCTGCATGCATGTGCATGCTCTCTCTCTCTCTCTAAAAATAAATGAATCTTTTAAAAAATATTTACTTTCTCTAGCTCCTTTGCATCGAGGGGTAGTCTTATGGCACAGCTCTGGTCCATAAGACATTAGTTGGGAGGCTCTGGGATAGCTTTGCTTCTCTGCTAGATTCTTTCCCTTTCTCTTCCCACTGTTCTTTTTGCTTGGGACAGACTGGAAGCCTGGAGCAGCAGCTCTCTTGGGACCCTGAAGTTACAACTTGGAGAATATTAAGGAAAATGGTAAGTGTCTGGATACCCATTAGAGTCTTGAGCCACAGTTCTAGTCCTGGATATTTTATTGTATGATGTCATTCAGCCTGTATGTTACTGTTTGTTGGGGTTTCTATTATTCGCTGTCAAATGCTTGTTCTGAATGATAATGAAGAATCATTTGCCAATCGTTCTGCTGTTTCTAGGATTCTAATCCTAGCGACATATACCCCTGGGGTTTACTGTGTTCATTCCTTCAAATTGGGCTCATTATTACTAAAAGTAAGAGAAAACAGGAAAAAGGCAAGGTCACATGTATAGAGTGAGAAACAAAAAATGAAGATAAATCCAATACATTTTAATACCATTTAATACCATTTTTTACCTCAAGTTTCTAGGCTTCTTTGAGTTCCCTCCTTTGCCTACTTCTCTCTCTACTCTCATGTTCATCTGCCTTCTACACACCAAGTCTCTTTGTCTGCATCAGCTAAGTTTTAAATGCAATGAAGAAAGTGGCTGAGCCAATGTCTGTCCACAGAATGAAGAGGATTCACAATATAAATGTCAAGAAAAGTACTACAGTTGAATGGTAGCCTCTTTACAAAATGCCGTCAGACACCTGTGCATTCATGTAAATTACTTAATTCATACAACATTGCAAAACAGAAACCTTCACCCCCATTGCTGTATGAATCACATGGGATGTTTGTAAACTTTAGCACCTTAACTACTTACAATGTCACTTAAAGCCAAAGATGCCCTCCATCATTTTCCTAAAACTCTTCTTCCTCTGCTATTTAGTTTTTCAGAATATTATGATATTTGAAATCTAATAATTTAATTTCTTTAAACAGATTTCACGTTTTGCAGCATAGACATTTTTAATAATTAATATATCTGCTGAAGCTTTGAAAACCGGTTTTTAGAATCAGGGTCTTAGAAAAGTAAGAGCAAAAAATTAAAAATAAAGAAAAGTAAGAGCATATCTTCCTTCTTCATTTTCAGAGAAAGCAAATATTCAAAATCACTATGAGCATAAACACTTTGATATAATTAGACATGATTTTTCTCATTATTCAGTTTGCACTTATACAGCTGTTAGATGTGGGCAAAGAAACAATTTTTAAATTAATGTAATGTAAGTGGTTTATTTATAGAGTCATAAATCCATATTGCAATTAAATGAACTCCATAGTACTTACACTTATTTGCTATGACCACACCCAAAACCAGCGTTTCTAAACTTCATTCAATTGTATATTTTTAGTGATTTTGAGGTACCATCTTTAGTATTTCTCTTTAATATTTTCTAATATTTTTCTTTAAATTGATTAAAAATATACTCACACATTAAGGTTGCCTTATCCTAAGCAACAATAGCAGTAAAATCATGATTACGTATCTTTTCTAATATGTATTATGACAGTATTTATAAATATAAAAATAAAAGTAATTTGTCTCTTGCCAACCTAAAATAATCTGTTTCCACAATGTAGAAAACATTGCATAATTGAATTAAAATTTAAAATGGATGGTGAAAACTTTTTTAAGAACAGAAAAAGTCTGAGCATTTTGTTTTTTATAAAGACCTTACCCTGGCCAACTCTGGGAAGAGAAACGGCTTACAATATTATTGCCTAATAGAAAGAATCCTGACCTAGAATTCTGCTCTGCCCTGCTTCTGTCTATGCTTCAGTTTCTCATGGTTAGGGAGATTAGGGAAAAAACTGAGTGTATCTCCCTGACTTAACCTTTCTTAGATTTAATACGCACAATTAAAGAGGATCCAACAGCAAGTGGCCTAGATGATGAGAAAAGTTGGAAGGATCTAGTGGTGTTTTATCAGAGGTGAGGCCGTTTAGGAGAAGACATCACAGTGCTGAATGGCTGTGATCAAGGAGGTAAAGTACAGAAGAAAGAGTTTCACGTGGAGAAGAATAGTTAGAGCTCTTTGGTTGGGCTTAGGGTTCAGCTGGAGTTACTCAAGAAGGAAGAGGATCGGTCACTGGTCTGTGATGTTGAAGAGGATCATGTGTACGGTAAGGCTTAGACGGCATCGGGTCCTTTCCCACCTTGATAATAACAATAGGCACCGAATGCTAATTGCTCCCTAAGCTAGACTAAGCATTTTAATGTGTCTTATCTCATTTAGTTTCCACGATAATCCATAGGGGTGGGTATGATGGTACCCATTTTATAAACTGAGTAATAGTCTAAAATTTGATAGGGGTTGAATTTGAACCCAAGCCAGAGTGACTCAAAGCTCATCTACCAGCCATTATATCATACTATAAATGTGGTCTGGGAAAGATAAAGTTTTCGTTTTGTTTTGTTCAGAAAGTTTCTTTGACCATTCAGCCAAACTGAAGCCAAGTTGTCTTCTTGAAAAAAAATTGTTGTAAACTGTAACTGTGTGAAAAGGAAACTGAAAAGCCATTATCTCAGCTGGCTTCCTTCAGATTTCTGAGAAAGCCAACATATTTCCCAAGGAAAACTTATGCTTTTAATTGCAAGCTCTGTTTTGAGAGTAGAGAACAGAATGGAAGAAACCAACATTTTCTAAGGAAAACTTATGCTTTTAATTTTTATATCTTTGTGTTTTTAATAAGAAGAGAAGAATCCAGAAGCCATGCTACTTATTTACCCAAATGATGTTACAAAATCAGCAAAAGCTTTGATTTATTTTTTCTGAATCCTTTTGAAAAACAAAAACAGAAACAAAAACCAGCAACACATTTTGAAAGTGTGTTCAAGGAAAGGGAAGGACAAATTTTATTTTCTAGCACCTTGGGGTATCTCAAATAGTCTCAAGGAGCGCCAGAATGTTTTCCACAAATAATTCAAAATCATGAAAATAAATCTGTGTCTTAATCATGTTTTAAGTAGAAAGAAATTTAGGAAATCAAACAAATAGTCACAGCAGGTGGTCTAGAAATCCCGAAAGTTTTGATTGAAATGATTTAACAACAACAACAAAACCCATAAAAGGATAGGGGTGGGTGGGGAAGGAAGGAAGGAAGGAAGAAAGGAAAGGAGGATAGCAAGGAGGAAAGACACTTAGAACTAGAGTACTCATTCATACTTGGTGATACTACTTATCAATGAGTTTTGCATTTATTTTCTTGGGGAAAATATATGAAGAAAAATGTTCGCTCTATTGCATTGTCTAATAGATTCACATATTTCTCTTAATCTCTGTATTATAAACTTGCATTCAAAATTAAAAACAACAGTTTTACTTCTTTGAATTTTGACATAAGATCCCACAGTGGATTTTACATTTACATTTTTTCCTCCCATCTCAATTTCCCTCTTTATTGACTTCTGAGAAATCTTTTCATTTTTTTTCATCCATGAAACACTGACCCCACCAATATCATCAGTGTGGGAACCAAACGGGGCATTCCACCAACCTCACTAAATTTTGTGGCACAGATACTTTACCTTGAAATGCCATAAATCATTAATGGGGCACCTGGGTGGTTCAGTCAGTTAAGTGACTGACTCTTGGTTTCCCCTCAGGTCCAGATCTCAGGGTTGTGAAATCAAGCCCAGTGTCAGGCTCTGTGCACCACAGAGTCTGTTTGAGATTCTCTCTCTCCCCCCTCCCTCCCCCTCTATTCCTCCTCCTGCCCACGCACACACTGAGCTCTCTCTAAAATAAATAAGTAAATAAAAATCTTTTAAAAATAATTAATGTTGTCCTGGAGCCAGAACTTTGAACAACCAAAAGCCTTATTCAATACACACACACACACACACACACACACATATATGTGTGTGTATATATATATATATATATACATATATATGTAAAAAGTAAAGTATCAGTATAAAGCAAGATTTTTCAGAACTGATAGAAAAAAAAATATTTATATATATATATATTTTTTTTCTATCAGTTCTAAGGATAAGAAATTAACTTTTCTTTATTTTTATAACCCCCAGCAAAATCGTTTGCTGGAGATAAACTCATTAAAAATAGTTATTGAGTTAATGAATGACTATATCCATGAATTAATGGAATTTCTTACTTGACGATAATAGAAGATTTATAAAATACTAATGATTCCTTAAAATGCAGTAAGAAATAGCTCATATTTCAAGTAATAACCAAAAAAGTGGCAGGGGAGATTTTGGCATATTTTATTTTAGATTTAGCATTTTTCTTTCTTAATAGCTAGTGGAAATGCTGGAAAATATATCTCTCAGAGCTCAGAAAAATGAGACCTTTGCAGTCCTTTAGCCATTAACATGCTGGAGGAAAAAGGATGGTCAATACTTAAAGACTAATACATTATGATCTTTTGAATCAAGAAACTGGGGATTTCTTCATCAGAAATAAATACCACATACGGTTCTATATTCAGAAACATGATAAATGAAACTTGAAAGATTCCTTAAAAACTTCCTCTGTAAGTTAAACCCAGACACACCATGTCTAAATGTATTTAATATTTATTTTTTACTCTTAAAGTGAAGCTATTTACATTTGACCTTAGAAGACAGACCATATCAGTAGGACATGAGAGATTAAGCTCCGCAGTATTAAAGTTAGAACACTCACATATTTGCAAATGTCTATGCAAATGTCATTAAAAAGAAAAATCACCATAAAATAAATGTTTATTCTTTAATTGTAATATCGAACAATCTGTACTTGGTTCTAAAGTTCAGTCAAGGGAGAGCTTCCCATAAGGTGTATTACTATTGTATGAGTGTGGAGAGCAGAGGTGGAGAATGCTTCTGGAGGTCAAGGAGTGGCCTTCCATGGGATAGTCAGAAAAGTTAATAGTTCAGTTATTCCCAAGAAGCCTTCTTGCTGCAGACCCGTAATTAATGTTCCCACTGCTCCTCTCTTTCGTTTACACCTTCTTCTTCTTCAGGGAATGCTGATTCATTCTGGCCTTTCAGATGCTTAACCCCTGAAATTATAAAAAATTATGCTCTATTTAAGTGAAATTTATTTCTAGCAGATTCATTGCTTTGCTGCAAGAGATAAAGAAAATGAGTGGAAAGTTTTCGCTGGTGTATACATGTTTTCCACAAGAATTTCAACCATCTAACCCTATATAAACCTTTTAATTCACTGAGAAAATCAAAACACACCCAGCCAAATTTCCATTAGAGACAGGCTTCCTTTATAATTAAATCTTCTCCATTAAGAATTGCCTCACAGCCTATTAAAAACCTGTTAACTAAAAATCCACTCACAGGCTCTTATTGTAATTCTGATATATCATTTAGTTCAAATATTTCTTTTGGCATCCCTGAATTCCATTACAACAAGAACCATTGAAGAAACCCCTAGGAACAAAGGGGTGTGTGTGCCATTTCTATAACTTGTAAACAACAAAAGAATCACGATATTGTTAGTCTCCTTCAGAAATCAGAACGTATTCATTTGATTACGAAACTTCTGTATACAAAATTCTCCAGTAACTTCCCCCACAGCCCACAGAGAGGCAAAACACTGGCACACCTCTGCCTGCTCCACAGGCTTATAGATCCTGGCCTCTCCCTACTTATTTGGCCTCATTCCTTCCCAGCCCTTCCTGCTTCCCCCTTTCACAGTAATTTATGAGTTACTAGTTAAGGACCCTAACCTACTCTTCCACATTCCCTGATCATTCCCGGCTCCTTCAAGCCTCCACGCTCTTCTCGTTGTCTTCTCACTGCCAAATAGCCTCTTCCTACTCACCCACCCGATATTCTCCTGTTCATGCCGCTGCCTCAGCTTGCCTCCTCTGGGAAGGCTCCTCTAATTCCCTACACAGACTTAGCTAGGCTTTTTTCATATTTCCCTACTGTTCGTGGATCATTTTCTCTTGTCTCAATTACCATACAGAACTGAGTTGTTTACACATCTTTCTCATTAAAGCAAATTTCTTGATGTCAAGATTATGTAGTTTCAGTTTGGGGTCTCAAACACAATGCCCGGCAAACAGTATGTACTCATCCATAGTGATTGAATAAATGGCTGATACAATTAAAACATAACTTGGTGTATGTGGCATATTTTTTTTCAAGATTTCAAAATTAACCCAAATTTGGAGTATAAACCAAAAGGCAACTACCACAACCATACACTCAAAATCTAAGAATTACCTCCTGTTTCACTTGGGTCCTGTTCTGTTAAAACATCATACCAGCAGACACTCCATGCATTGCTACTTAACGTGAAAAGTTTTATACATATTTCATATTTTAGAAAATTGGTTTATAAGATTTTTCTAAATATTACTGAAAAATATTCAATTAGAATTGATAAATGAAAGGAAGTCACTACTCATGTTTGTTATGAAACAAAAAAAAAAAACTAAAAAAAATGTGGATTTGCATGTACTGTAGTCAGCAAGCCTCAGAATGCTGTTTGGCAAAGAACAACATCCTTGGGCTTGGTGGATTATCTTGCAAAAATATTTGATCAGTTGTAATATTATTTAAATACTTTAATTTCATCTGTAAACACAGATCACTCAAAATTCCTGTTGACCCAAAACAGTAGATGGACATTTATTATTAACAAATGGAGCTTATCTTATATATTATAAATTACAGGGTGGGAGGGAGATGTCTAAATATTAAGGAGAAGGTAAGGTAATTCATTCATTCAATAAACATCCAATCAGTTATTCTGTTAGGGTCTCATATACCTTGGTCTCTAAACCTCACAACTCCATGAAGAAATGCCTGGATGGTGAAATTTAGACTCGAAAAAGGTAAGTGATTTGTTCAGGGATATAAGGACAGTGTAGTTTTAAGAGAAGTTATGACACATCCTATTTCCTCAGTACACTAATGACTGACTGAATGAATAGTGAATGAGGCATAAAAGTTCCATTTTCAGGAGACCCTAACTCATTTTCACCTTTAGTTTTTCTGGATGCTGATACAGATTTTCCTGTCCTCCTCTAGAATTTATTATAGGTTTACAGTATCCATTAACCTTGCTTAGACAATGTTGGGATTCCTTCTGGAATATTAAAGCACAGTAATCATTCAGCCACATTTCACTCTCCTAAGCTGAAATTGTCTCTCCCAGTCTGAAAAGGTTCTGTTAACCTCCAGAGCTCATCCCTTTCACCCACAAGGCAACTGCAGAGTAATAAAGTTGTGTTTAAGACAACTTTCTTTAAATTAGAGTTAGTAACTTAATGGCAACATTGATTCATTTATATGAGGGGCTGAAACATTAAGAAAATATGGTAACCAAAAAGTCCAACTTACTAAATAATTAGTCATCATTTCCCTTACTTGAGTATAGGCCTACTTGCTTTTAATTTATTTTATCACCCAATAATGGTCATAGCGTTATATAAGAAAGCCTTTTTAAAAGTAAAATCACTCACTAGGGCAAACCCCGGAAGACGCGTTTCTTAGCCTTTTCCATGAGTGACATTAACTATTTCTAGGTGAAAGATTTGGTGAGATGGGAGTTGATAACACGAACATCTCTACAGAACCACACATTCCTTGGTTCTCAAAGCAATTTACATTCATGTCATCTTTCCACTGAATAACGGATAGTTGGTTAACTTGTGTCTTGAGTCTTTTTTCCTATGAGTAATATTTGTTTGGTTATGGAGGCAGTAGTACTAACAGGTCTGTGTGAGGTCTGTGAGGACTATCTAATAATTTCTGTCTCCCCACGCCCTTCTCCTTTTCCCAAACACACAGATACTTTATATTTACATTTTCTTTAAACCTTCATTTAATATTAAGGTAATTCTGAAGGTGGAAGAAAACGACTTGGTCTGGGGGCCTGAGAAAATCCTCAGAGCCTCCTCCTCTGTGGAATGCTAACAAGCATATATTGAAACACCTCGCCTGCACAGGACTGACTGCACAGCATACAGCAAAGAGGCTCCTGGAGCAAACAGACTCAGCCAGCCCTGCACACAAGAAAAAGCCAAGAGATCCAAAAAACACAACAGGCGTTCTCTTCTCCACAGCAAATGAACACAGGCAAAGGAACCAAAGGTAAGACCAAGATATGCAGTATGAAGGAATGAAGAAAACAGTCGGAGGAAAGGAAACGAGACTGAGTAAAAGAAGAAAAGGAAAGGAAATAAATGTTGCTCCAAACAGGACATAATCCTCCTGCTCTTCTCCATTCTCTAGATCAGGTGGTGGTATAAGTGAGTTGGATGAAATTGTGAAGTGACTGAGCAAAGAGTTAGGAATAATGAATCCACAGAGGGAAGCTTATGTTTGGCAAGCCATGGGTCAATATGTTTATCAATTAGTTTGGAGTGAAAAAAAAGCCAGGCTTATTGAAGAATGATAAAACTAGTATTCCCAAAGCTTTCCAAGAGCAGGGAAGAGGCTGACGTGGGTAAGGGGCTGCTGAACACGGAGTTTTGTTTTTAGAAAGATTTCTTGGCCTCTAAGAAATAGAGAATGAGTGGGGCCTCAACCGATTACAGTTAAGGGCAGAGTCACCTGATTAGGGACTAGGCTCTTGGTGGTGTCAGAGCATTCCTAACAGCAGGCAGTAGTTTAAGGAATGCTCCCTAACCATAGGTTGACAGACTTTTCTGGAATATGCTGCCTGATTGTGAGCTCTCTGTTTCAAGAGTTCCACTGAAGAAGGTAATTGAGATTAAAAGTAGTCTTATGAAATCGCTTTTCTAGAACAATTGTATTTGAAACTGGAATGCCTGGTAAGTAAGTAAGAGAGGACAAAGAGGCTGCCATTGAATTCCTAACACACTGGAAAAAGAACTGAAATTTATCTAAGTAGCTCCTGAGAGCAGACATAGGGTCAATAGTGGACATTTATGTAGTGAGGGCAGATTATAGCTCAATAAAGAAAAGAAAATTCTTAAACTCTTTGCCCAGCAATAAACATGTGAGTGAGCTTTCATCACTATATGGATTCAAGTCTAAGCTAAATGTCTATCTCTGAGATGGGTCATAGAAGGAGGCCTGCATTGTGTAACAGGAGAGACTGACCATCTTGCTGACCCTCAGATGCTTTTAATCCATAAAAGAGATCTTCTTTCTATTGAAAAATTTGCTCTGCTATGTGTACTTTAAATTACAAAAAAAGTAATTATGCTTCTAATGACATAAATGACTCAAATCCACATTTTAAAAACTAATTCACATTGGGAGTAGCAACTGTAAATGGATTCTTTTTTTTTTCCCAACCACATACTTTAGACCTTAAAAATCATTCTAAAGTCCTCTAGAGAATATGTGGGTGGATTTTAGAGTCTCTGACCCTTTTGGAATTCTATTTATAGTTGTATTTGTGCTTTTTGGGGGAAAAAGGCTCATAGTTTTCAGCAGAATCTCAGAAGGGTCTCTGACCCACAAATAATTGTGAATATGAATCCTGATCTAATCTCTTTAGCTTAAAGACGAAGGAGCAATACCAGTGTGCAAACGACTTGCTTAACACAGCACTCATTGGCTGAGCTGGGACATAAACCTTGGTCCCTAATTCCTATTGGGGGCTCTTCACCTGGGTCACCAGGACCCAATCTTGCCTTGTCATTGACCTTTTCCCAATTTAAGACCTGAAGGAAAATCAAGCACTAACATTATAAGTGCCTTTTTTATTATTACATTCCTTGCAAGAATTTTACATAGCTGATAGATTCAGATGTAATTTGCCAGTCTTTTGTTGTTGCTACTGTTTTTAATGGAATTTGGAATCAGAAAGATACAGAATTTAATCTCACCCAGGAACATTCCCAGAATAGAACCAAGTTACGAATAATGTTCAGATGGTCAGAAAAGAAGCAGCCTTTCTCTTTGCCATGCTCAAACCTGAGACAGGATTCTGGGAGACACAGAAAACATATCATGGTCTGGTCTGGGAGATGAGACCTAGTAGTCATCAAGCAATAAGAGTTAAACACCATAAAGTAATAAAGTCCCTGCTGTGTGTTAGGCATAGGAGAGACACAACTAT